ATAGCCATCAATGCAGGTTTAAATAAAGATTTTAAAAGAATATTGATTGAGAATGCTGATATGACGCCATTATCAGTGAAAGATGTTCTTACAGCATCGGACGGAACTCACAAGGTACCTTTCTCATCTTTTCATCCTTAATGTTATTGCACGTTTGTTTTTAATCTTTCTGTGGCCATGTGGATCGGAAATATTATGTGTAGTACAGCAATTTTCTCAGGACATTTAATTAATCATTGAAATTGCAGGAGGTTGCAGATATTGTTCACTTTGGATGATGGATTGGCGATAGAAACGGTAGTGATTCCTTGCAGCAGGGGAAGGACCACTGTTTGTGTTTCAAGTCAAGTTGGCTGTGCAATGAATTGCCAATTCTGCTATACTGGAAGGTAAATCTTTTGTTGTAGCGCTGCAGCTTATGCCTTTCAGGCATTAATTCTTGGTTTGCTCATCCTGAGCAAGTGCTAATCTGTAAAAATGATATTGTTCAGGATGGGTTTGAAAAGGCATTTGAGAACAGCTGAAATAGTTGAACAAGCTGTTTTTGCACGAAGGTTATTTTCAGCTAAGTTTGGATCTATTACAAATGTTGTATTCATGGTGAGTATCCTTCTTTTATTTTGCATGTTTTGGCATATCTGGATGGGGCCTCTGTAGACCAGTTTCTAGTTATATTATATACTTTTCTATTTTCATTTTTCACAAAGAAAACTGTCAGTTTTGCATGAAAAAATATTTTCCATTCTGTAACTTCGTATCTTTTTCATTTATTGGTATAGGGAATGGGTGAACCTTTTCATAACATAGATAATGTTATTAAAGCGGCAGCTATTATGGTTGATGAGCAAGGTCTTCATTTTAGTCCTCGTAAGGTAACTGTTTCAACCAGTGGACTTGTTCCTCAATTGAAACGCTTTCTCAAAGAGTCTAACTGTGCGTTAGCTGTTAGTCTCAATGCAACAACTGATGAGGTATGCTGACTTTTGCTTTTTGGAAGATTTACATATATACCACACAATTTTTATCTATTTACATAT